ACGTGGTTGATTTTGTCAAGGACGAGGCAGCATTGGCTACAGACCCGTTTTCTCACCTGACGCCCTTAAGGAAGCAAGTAACAGCAATAGCAATGTCGGGAACACAATGTGGAGAAACAACGGGAAAGGAGGAAACAAGAGCGCAACTAGCTTCTCTACAAATGCCACACCTCAAGGCCAGAAATCCCCACCTCGATTTCCTTGGTGTCCATTCTGCAACAGTTACAATCACGATTTAGATAACTGTCCAATTTTCGCGAAGAAGGCCATTGAAGAAAGAAGATTATTTGTACAAGAAGCTAGACTGTGCTTTGGCTGTCTTTGCCTTGGCCATGTCTCTAAACGATGCAGAAACAGAAAGGTGTGCAACTCGTGCAGTATGCCCCATCCAACGGTCCTTCATGATGAAACAAAGAGCACCCTTAAGGTTAATGAAGGTTCAGCAAGTAAAGAAGTTGCCAGAGTTGCTCAGCTAGAAGAAGCCACAAGCAGCTGCACAAATACCTGCAATGCAACCAGAGCCATCGACGCTATCACAAACTCAATGATTGTCCCCGTCCGTGTACATCATAGAACCAATCCCGAACGGCAGGTAGTGGTCTATGCCTTACTTGATCCCGCTAGTAATGGCACATTCATCAAGGAAAGCATACTTGAAAACCTTCAAGTCGATGGCACAGAAACCCAACTGCAGCTGAACACGATGCATGGGTCAGAAGTAGTTCCCACTCGAAGAATTACTGGTTTGAATGTCAAAAGTATGGGCAAGGATCCCGCGTGGAACTGCACAAAACATATACAAGAGATGACATACCGTCGAAGAGAGTAGAAATCCCACGAACAGAAACTGCAAAAGTGTGGCCCCACCTAAGTGGCATAGCCAGTAAGCTTTATCCATACCAAGTAGATGTAGAAGTAGGGCTTCTCATTGGATCAAATTGCCCAAGTGCCATCAAGCCAGAGGAACTTATCCCTTGGAGAAGCAGTGATCCTTATGCCATTCGAACACTTCTTGGCTGGGGTATTATAGGCCCAATCTCAGGAAGTTCTAACAAAGAAAATTCAGAAGTCCTGTGCCACAGAGTCGCTGTTAAGGAGATCGGTAGCAAGGAACCATCACCCGATTCGTTATTGAATCTTACGCAAAGGAGATTATCTCGCCTGAAGCTGTCAAGAGAATGTTCGAGTTGGACTTCAACGAAGTTAAGGATGCAACTGGACAGTCCCTCTCGCTGGACGACCGAAGGTTTATGGCAAAGGTCACAGAAGGAATTCATCACCACCCAGATAGTCACTATGAGCTACCACTGCCACTTCGAGATGAATCCTTGGCCCTCCCCAACAACAAGAAGCTGGAATTTCACCGCCTCCAACACCTCAAGCTAAGATTTAGTCGAGAGGAGAAGTACAAGAAAGAATACACAGCGTTCATGAACGACATGATAAAGAAGGGATACGCTGAGAAGATATCGTCACTGGAGGAAACAAGACAAGATGGAAGGATATGGTACCTCCCGCACCATGGAGTCTACCACCCTCAAAAGCGAGACAAGATCCGTGTCGTTTTTGACGGCTCTGCAGAGTACAAGGGTGAAGCTCTCAACAAGCACCTTGAGAATGTTAGGGAATGCTGGCTGAGATGGAGAGAGGAACTACACCTTCTGGAGAATCTGGCAGTTCCCAGATGCTTTAAACCGGAAGATTTTGGAACTGTAAGATCTGTTTGTGGCTATTTGCCTTCTTTAATTCTGTAAATTTCGTTTTCAGTTTCACGATACAATACAATGAAGTAAACAAGATTTCCACAACAAGCCTGTCTAAGATTTTTTGTAGTATCCGTGAATCTTGAGCGGTTTTAAGCGGCAAACAAGTGCCGCTGCAGAACCAACTGAAACAACTGCTTCTCCAAAAAATCTTTTAACTCAACTCCATAAACATCTAGTCATTATTGGTTATCTTCATAGTGTCGGCCCAGTAAACAAAGAGCTAAAGGATCCGAATTCTTCTCATTTACAATCCAAGAGGAAGTACAGAAAATAGAAGCTTTGTGCTTTTCACCAAAAAAACATAAAGGCAATGTTGTAAGCAGAGTCGAAAGTGGACTACCATGCAAACTCACAAAGTTTTCTTTTCACAAAACAGAAGACAATGTAAATTGGGTGAACACAGCTACACAAATCAACGATGCCTTAGAAGCAACACTTGATTTTTGTCGCGAAGCCAATGATAACAAAACACCAGTGGCAAACACAAAGGACGTTGATAATATTCAAGTTATCAAGGTATCACAGTTCATGGCATGGTTGTTTTTGGAGATAACAAGGCAGAACCTGTCCCTAACAAAACTGATCTTATCAAAAAGGAAGGATCCTTGTGCACGAATTCGGAACTATGCCGATCACAATTTGGAACAAACAAATTGAAACTGTGGAAGAAGGTTTTTATGAAATGAAAAACATTTGTCACCATGTTCAACAAATTAACTGAAAACCTGCTGCACATATCTCAACAAAAAATTAAGGACGCAAAAGAAAAACTAAAAACGAACAAGATAACCTGTGATAACATTCAAAGCCTAGACATAACAGTGTTCTACAACTGCGTCACTTGCTCCAAAAAAGTCCAATTTCAACAAGGTTCACCTAAGCTTAGATATATGAACTGCCGATCAAGATTTCTCATAAAAAATTCTACCAAAACTACGACAACACGTATTTCTATCAAAAAAACTGACCAAACAATATGGTATTCATTATTCACTTCCACAATAGAAGCTTTTATCAAAAAATACAACAAAGATAATAATGAATTGGAAACAATAGAGAAAAATGGATAAACTATGTCAAGTTATTTTGACAACGACAGGTATTAAATTACGAGTCAGTGGCACAAACACTGTTCTTAGCATTTCCTTTACTTAACTTTATTATACTCAATATACTGTCGTGACCTTTTTGTTTTTCAAATTTTTCAGTGTTTTTTTTAAGTCACGTTGTTACCTTTTTGTAGTCTCCTTAATTGTTATTACCCTTGAAGTCTAACATGATGTAAAATTTGTGATATGCGATGATAGTCATTACGCTAGACTAATGCTGCACACTATACCCATTTCTCTTCAATGAAAAACTTCCAGTAGGTGTATCACAACCATCGTTGACTTTCTCTGTGACAATAGCTTTCCAGTGTTTTGCCATCATGGCAACCGCAGTTTCTCGTTATTTTTGTCATCAGTTCCTGTCAAAAGTATACGTTTATTATGTGTGCAATACGTTCAACTTAATTTCGGAATTCCTTTATTTCCTTTAGCAAAAAAATGTTTACCGATTTGACCCTTACTCTAATTTGCGAGGAAAAGTTGTTTAGCCAAGAAAGTACTTTCTTGCTTCATTCATGTGACCTATGAATTGATTGAAAATTCTATAAAAGGAAGAAATCTACATTATGACTTCATTATTCTTCTGAAGAGAAATATGGATTAGTCTCTCATGGCTGGTAAGTGACGTATGATTTTTTTTACGAGTTGTGAAGAATCACAAATGAGCGAGATACAAGCAAGCAAGTAGGTGAACCTTTACAGGACGTAAATAAAAATCGCACAAGCGAACCAACCATGAAGCTTGTATTTGTACTGAGATATTACAAAGGATAACTACTTCCAAACTATTAATACAAAATCAATGGAAAAACAACGACTGAGCGAGAGAAACTATAACATTGTAAGTGCTTCATTATTTTAATGCTAAAAATGGTTTTCAATAATTCAGGGGGAAAGTAAAAACTGGATTCCAAAAAGCGTTATTTCAAATAAGTCAAGACCTTAATAAACTAATAAAAAGCTTATAGATTTTTACCTTCAATGAGAATGTTCAAGCATGTTCAAAAGCATAATGCATAAGCTAAGCTCAACCAACCAGAGTCGGACGCTAATACTCGTAATCCTTAGTACCACTTTAGAGAAGATTCTGTTTCATCTTCTTGCCTGTTATACATCTTGCTACGGATTGATTGAAATGCTGAATTGGTCTCAGTTCCGTGAATATACAGCACTCAGGAAAAACAACATCGCTTGTTGACTTTGCACTTCTTCAGTTCTTCTTCAGGTCTTTGTTTTGACTTTAAGGCCATTCACGTTTTCTTCAAATTCGGCATCTTTTATAATAATGTAGCCGTAATTTTGTGAAATACCTTTTAAAGCTGGCAATCACACCACACAAAGAACAGGGGTTATAATTTTCATTTTCTTCTCATTTGTGAATGCGTGAATGAATGAATCGAGTTCGTATGGCAGAATTTCTTCCGGGCTCGAGACTCATTTTTAGCGTAAAAAAAATCCTTCAATAAAGCGATATTCTCTTTAGTTTTCTTTCTGTTATTTTCATTTCCGTGTCCTTTGGGAAATTCATTGACTGAAACTAAATCTGCAAACCGTGAAATGCCCGAAGACGACGCCATGACTTTACTGGTTTTCTTTTTGAAAGCAGACAGGGAAAGGCGGGAAATTTCACTAGTGAGGGAGCGCTTACCATTTGTACTGGAATAGGACAATTGCACAATGATGATATTTGACTACAACTACCAGAATTCATTTCGGTTTTGCTTTGTTATTTAAATTTGTCAATCCCGCTGAGGATTAAAGAACAAAAGCCTTAATTTGCACAAGAAAACAACAAACTCAAGGATTCGGGTAGTTGTAGTAAAATGATGTCATTGGCAATTGTCCAATTATCGGTGATTGGTCATGCGATGATTTTCACTGGTGAGGAAAATATCCAACCAATCAAAGTGCTAGCAATTTTAACAGACAATATTTATTTGTTAAATTAAAGTAAATCTCGGTATAAATATACAATAAAATCATACTCCACTTAACATGTTTAAAGTCAATAGTCCACCTCTTCAAAACCTTTCTGTCCTTCCACGAGGCACCCTTGAATATATATTTTTTTTGATGAGGGGGGGTGGGGCATGAGGGGGTATATGTCGAGGAAAAGAGGTGAGTTTCATGTGTTATCCCACCCTGTAAGTTAACGGTAGATCAAAGGGAAGTGCTGGAAGTAGTTGAAAGAGGACATAATGTATTCATTACTGGACGGGCCAGGACTGGAAAGTCGTTTTTAGTCAAGGAAATTTCCGAAGCTTGTACAAGAAAAGGAACAAAATGTGAGGTCATCATTCTGTTCCAGTGGGATTGCAGGAACAGTTTATGGAGATATCACCGCAACAGTGCCCACAGTCCATTCTTTTTATGGTTTGCAAACCGCCGATTTGCCGTGGAGAGATGTTGTTAATCGCACAACTACTTGTAATCAAGTTCAGGATAAAATACGAGGGGCAGGATGCACAATCTGGGACCAGGCTTTGATGTCGAGTAGACGAAATTTGGAAATTGCAAATTATATTCATCATGATTTGGCAGTGGAATGTGACATGGCAAAACCGTTTGGCAGAAAGCAGATCATAATCATTGGAGAGTTCCTTCAACTGCCTCTGGTCCCGAATGTGTTCGACCAGGGTAGGCCAATGTATGAATTGCCCTTATGAAAGTATGTTGTGCCTCACCGGTATTAATTGATAACTTTAAAGCGCCTTACCACTGCAGAAGAAAGTTTCATTAAATTTCTCCAAGAAATTCGTTTGGGCACGTGCTTACAAGACAGCTGTGAGTACTACAGTAAAAGTCTTGCGCAATATCTAAGTTATCCTTTAATTACCAAAGCCACTCACCTGTGTTTTAACAAAGTAAGCGTACTAGGCCGGGTTCTTCGAAAGACGGGTTAAATTAACCTCAGGTTAGGCCTAACCGGAGGTTAAATTTCTTAACCGCAGGTTTGTTAACTCCTGGTTAAAATTGCATTGTTCAAAGCCGGGTTAAAAGACCAACTCGAGGTTAGCATCCCATAATACACTGGGAATTTTCTTGCGAGTTGGTTGTTTACAAACAGCGAAAAGCACTAAAATGGCTTCCGGTGAAGGGTCCCGCAAGCCCAGGAAACGTAATTTTAGTGCCTGCGAGATTTCAATTTTGATGGAGAAAGTAGAGGAAAACTTGGCCATTCTACAAAGTAAATTCACCAACAGTGTTACCAACTTGAAGAAAAAGCAGGTGTGGTCGGAAATTACCGCCGCAGTAAACGCAGTTGGAGTAGACAAGCGCACAGAGACAGAGGTCCGCGAAAAATGGAAGAATCTTCATTCCGCTGCCAAAAGAGTGTTCGCAAAATTCCGTCAAGAAACCAAAAAAACTGGAGGAGGCCCTACCCCGAAAGAAATATCTGCGACCACTTCAAAAGTCATTGAACTTTTCCAGGACACTCCGTCCTTTGTAGGCCTAGCGGGGTTTGAGAAAAATTGTCCAAATGGTAAGCCAATATTTTAAACTTTCATTTCCGCATTATGGAGCATTATGAGCTTAACTTTTGCTTTATAAGAAAAAGTGGGTAAACATATTAAGCATAATTAGCGCTTGTTTCAGTGTTGTTTTGTCAAGCGCTTAAATGGTTTTGCGACCGTAGGTCACGAAAGTTGATCTCATCGAGTCCCCGACTTTTGGAATTAAGTGTGGTATTTGTGTAGCTTGGTACTCGAGAAAAGTTGAAATTACCTTTTTTGAGAATGAATAGCAGTTATTTCAATTTAAACAAGACCAACAAAAAAGTAAAAAAAAAAAAACAGCTACTGTGACCCCATCTCGCTCTTTGCTGTTATTGTTAAAGCTTCAACTTTACTGTGATATGCGAGAATTTTTGCACGTTTTACTTATGTGAATGTAAGAAAGTTTTGTTTAAACTAATATATTGTAGGAAAACAAAACAGGGAGAGACCGTAAAATTGCTATGTGTAAGAAAAAAGCTAAGAAGAAAAGAAACGATTCGTGCTTTCTGAGGCTCCAAGAAATTACAAACGCCATGATTAAGCTAAATTTTATGGGGAAAATTTTATTTAACTTATTTCTTTTCCCAAAGAGTAGCAAGTTTGAGGCTCAACATAGACCCAAGTTGAAGTTCAAGTATAGAATTAAAGACGAATAGCCGATATTACTTAAATGGGAGTCGTGAGTCAGTGTTTAGTATACAAAAATTTCGGAAAAGTAAAATAAGGCCGTTTCCTCAGCGGTCTGCATATTGTTAGAGATTTTATTTTGTACTAACTTGAACATATATTTCACCACCCAATTTTTTTAAAATATTTCTATGAGCCTATAAAAAATTGAATCCATTTCCATTAAATAATTAGCCTTTAAAGACAGATTGTGTGAGCACTGTTGTTATGCATGTTCACAGATCAGTCATTTGAAGAGCAGAGTAGAGGTTGGAGTGATGTAATTCTAGTCGCAGAGGTCAGTGAACAGTCACAGTCAGCCACTGCAGTGTCTGCTGAAGATGTAGAGCAGGAAAAACCTTGTATTGTAGTGCAAGAGTCAGAGGGAAAATGTGAGCCAAAAAGGAAGAAAATAACACATGACCTTGTGCTGGAGCAGCAGTTCAACACCCTCCTTTTAAGGCAAGACAATCTGAAGTTGAAAAAGAGGAAATTGGAGCTAGAGGTCTTGCTTCTAGAAGAGAGGATTAAGAGAGAAACAGCTGTTGGACAAACCATGCAGCCATTAACAACTATTAATGTAGGCCCAATTTTGACAAACTATCATTTTGAACTATAACTGCATGAACAATGTTTTATACCACTTTCCATCTTCCAATCTTAAATTGTATGCATTTAGATTAATATAAGTTTTCACATGCAATTTTGTTATGTAAAACACCTCAGGAAGATGTTAAAATGCTTCATTAAATCAATCTCATCAATCTCAATTTCAGATAGCATTAATTGTTTTGCAAGGTTTGTTATGTCTGTAAATATGTAAAAAAAATATCATTGTATTTATAAACACATTTGGCCAGGCTGTCACATTCTTAACCGTACATGTTGCAAAATGGCACAGTGTGTCATTGAGTTGTTTATCTATGCTACACTAAAATTGAGTAAGGTACCTGAAATTGCTGATAAGCAAAATATATTTTAAAGAAAAAGTTATGAAATAAAAGGCATTTATATTAAATTTGATTGAGTCTGATGGGAGGGTATCCAATGACACATCATTTTAGCTAGTGTTAGTTGTCAGAGTTGAGCATTGTAAAAAAAGTAGTTGGGTTGGAATAGCATTTGCTCAGCTTGCCATGAGGCCGTAATTTATGCTAATGAATTTTAGAGCTGGACAATGGGTGACAAGTAATCAAGGTTAGAGGAGACCTTCCTACTCGCATGGACTTAATCATTCTTCCATTTTAAAAGATGAAGGCAATGGTAAGGAGTGGTTGATTCGTGAAATCCACAAATTAAATATTATTACAGATAACGGTAAAAAAATGAAAAACAGCTAGAGAGAGTCATGTATCCCCAAGAAAGCATGGATGCTTTACTGACTCTTCATGTCTTTTAGTTTAACTACGAGTTTACACTAGATTTGCAATCTCAAATTTGTCACTTTTGTCCATTTAAAGCCTGTAACATATTCAACTCGTATTATTAACATATTAATATAAACTTAATCATTGACTGCACAATGACAATGAGTGTACCATATGAAACTGAATGTATTTCTCACGTCACTTCGAAGTTTCCACAATACTGCAGAAGCATTCATTTAACAGATATATGTTGCAGTTAAGTTTTCATTTCAGTTAATTCTTGTTTTTCCTTTTTTCTAAATTCATACATTACCATGCCCTACAAAAAATGGAAAAATAAAAATTAACTGAAATAAAAAATTAACTACAACTTATTACAAAACCTTCCAAACACAAATTTATCTAAAATTAGGGTACCATAAAGGAGTTTTCAATCCCACCAGCCCAGTCAATACTTGGGGGCCAGGGATTTCCCCTGACTACTATTAGTGAATGTGCCCCCCGCCCCCCCTGATAGAAAATTGAAAGAAACAATAGAACCAAAAGAAATCGCTAGATGTTTGATTCCCCACCTACTTGTTGTTTTACCTGGCAACTCGAAAACTTGGTGACCGCCCTGTACCCTGTTTCTGTTTATAATAAATTAGATTTCCAAAATTTTGCTTCCCCGTTCCTCTAAATCTTAATTTCGAGCTTTGTAAATCTTCAAATTAGCATTATTTTCCTGGATTCAAAAAAAACTTTATGGGAACCTTAGAAGAGCTTTACAGAGTTTGTGTAATGAAAGTTTGACATAACCTTGTAGGAGTGAAGTGAGATGATTGCTTCTAACAGACTTGATAGAATAAAAATCAGCTAATTTTAAAGCCTTATTAATAATCTCTAAATAGCCTACTCTAGGATGGAAAAAGTAGCGCATAATTTCTTTCCTAACATTCACCCTACTACCTCCTCCTCTCATTCTCCTGCCTTTCACCTTTAAACCAGCTAAGTATTCAACATAACTTAATACAGCCAGTTCAGTCTGACGTTTCACTGTGCGGTGCTTCCTCTTATCATCTAATATCCTATTGTCCTTCAAAACAAATCCACCACCATTGTTCAGAATCTACTTCTCATCTCTAGGTACAAATTCATGTGTAAATTATGCAAATTCTCTGTATCCCGCTGCCTTTCTCTTTCATATGCAAGATGTTCATCCTTCACTCTATCTTCGTAAATTAAAACTTGCAAGTCATTTGATACTAGAGCATCCCTTTCCTTTACAAGGTTTAAATAACAACTCAAGGTGAGTTTCAATTCTCCAACTATCACATGACCTCCTCTAATATGTCTTCTCTCCTGTTTAGTGAAATAGTCTCTCCCTCTCTTATTTTTCCACTGTAATAATTCAGAGGTAATTAGTTTCGTCCTGCTTGTTACAATGTCATCCACAGATTTCTTTAGGGTAGCTATCTCCACCTCTATACCTTTCTCTTTCTCTGTAAAATCCTGTCTTGTTTTTTCGTCTCTACATGTCACCACACCGCTAACAGATATATATTCAACATCTACTTCCTTCCTCAATTTGTACAGCTCAAAGCTACACCTAGCTGATCTACCATATAGTTTGTCAATTCTTTGTAAATCAGTCCTCAAGCAAGAAGTGATGAAGCGAGATTTGATAACCTTTTCATGCCAAACTTGTAAATTATTTGTCATTCAGTTATCTTAGCATCCTCTGCAACTTTTACATACATAAATTTTACTAACGGACTAACTTACAAACAAACTTAATGTTTGCTTGCGCATAGGAGTATTTTAAAGTATACAAATGTTCAGTCGCTTAGCATTTTTAGCATGCGACACGTACTGGAGCGAGATGCAACTTTTTGAATTTTTAAAAAAACTTGGCATAATCAACACAATCGTGTAACCCACAGTAATTCCTCAGACCATCTAAACTTCCACATGCATCCCTCACATACACCAGAAACCAGACGAAAGGTGAGGCTTCATACCACATAATCTTCTGTGTTTACGCTAAGACTAAATTTGTAAATAATATAAAGAACTAGACCAAATTTTACCCACCCTCTCCCGCTATAGACCAACGACATGGACACACCAAATTGCCCAAAGGCCAAACAGCCCAAAATCCAGGTAAGAGATTTTTAGATAAAGCAAGGAGCATCTTTAAGTAACAAAAGACACGTAGGGCTCAGCCAAATGGTACCATAATGGCGTCGAAACGTGTGGAAACAGGTTTTCTCCGAAACCCACCCCATTCCCCTACGGCATCTTCTCTTCCCTCCCCTCCCTAACCTGTTTCCTTGATTGCCTTCTGAGCTCCTGATGAGACAAGGCTTTCAACATTTTGTTGAGATAAGATGCTTTGTGTTTAAAAGGATGAGCTTATCGTATCACATTCAGTACAGTCCGGGGAAAGATAAGCTAACAAATAATAGGAAAGTTATTATGGGTGGGTTAATCACTTTTACAGCTGTCCTCAGAGGAGGAGTTTGAGGTACGCAGCTGCCTGGCAGTGATAGAAACAGAAGAAAGAAAGAGAGAATTCGAAAAGAAGGAAAAGGACCTGAAGGAGAAGGAGGAAAAATTGAAACAAAAAGTAAGAGAAATTAGGAGTGCAACTATAGAAGCCAAGCGGGTGGCTGCCTAGCTACAGCTAATGGCAGGGCAGCTAGGCTGCTTGGCCAACCACATTTTGGCAGAAGCCAAGAAATAGAAAGATATAAGAAAGAAATTTAAACAACAGCATGAATTATGTTAAAATTTATTGTACAAATCGAGTTTTCCATTACAAATCGTTTTTATTGGTAAACAAATAGTATACGAAGCCCTTAATAGTTGTCTCCTAAGTCGAACCTGTACTGAATATATAGCAAAAATAAACATACTTCTCGCATCCTGAAGAATCTTTTCCTTTTCCACCGTATCCACACCTATGCCTCCATCCTCCGCTTTCCTATACTACACCACTATCTTTGTGAAATCTATCACCCCATACATTTTCACTTCTTCCTGTACTTTTCCCCACCCCTGCCCCTCGGGGTTTACATTGTTACATTGATATAGGTTCATGACTTAAAACGCTTTGTAAGTTTTTTTTTCTGATGCTGAACAGAATGTAATTTTGCCTGTAAAGGTAAGAAAAGATGAACTCAGTCAAATACACATTATTACTGGTAGAATTGGAAAAAACCCAAAGTCTGCCAGTTTTTCTCGTGGCTTCGTCGGTTTGCAGTGGTTCATCTAAACTTCATTTCATGCAAGCAACCAGCAGCCCATTACCAGTATCTAAAGGCTCCTGAAGCAACAATCAAATGGTTTGTATGAAATATTGAGTCAAACTGGGTGTGTGAGCTGGGCTGTGCAGAAATCTTACCCACTTTTCCATACATGTTTTTGTTTCATATCTTTGTCCAAACAATTTTTAGAACGTGATCGAATCGATCTTGACTATCCCATAATTCATCACATAAACTTTTCCCTATTACTGACTTCATGTAAGAAAGTGTCAGCCCTATTGGGGACTTCATGTAAAAAGTAAAATACATGTACTTTTGATTGCAAACATACCCTTGTACTAGTAATAGTACTGACCTTCGTGGTTACATACTCCTTGAACGTTGATAGAGTGGAAGCCCTTGCGATTTACATAAGCGTTCTCATGCTCGTTTGGCACTTGGATTCTGATGTGAGTGCCGTCAAACCAGCCGATTACACAAGGAAAGCCTCCACGTCGATAAAACGAGTTCTTGACTTCAGCAACTTCTGCATCTGTCGGCCACGTAATAAATTCGCTTTGCTTCGCTATCAAGGCATTTGACACATTTGTCACGACACGCGAAACAGTTGACCTGTCGACACCAGCAGTGTCCCTGCGAGTACTGCGACGAAGTTCATCGGCTATGAGACTTGTTATGTATCCAATTCCCTGTCGTCCAAACCTGAACCGATTTCTTAGCTCTTCGTCTGTAAAATTTTCGATATTAATGGATCGTTTAAACTGTCTTGGTCTTCGTGGACTCCGTAAGTCGGCAAACAACAAGTCAGCCATTTTGTTTTTTACTTGCCTTTATTTTTCATTTAACCTGAGGTTATTTATTTAACCGACCTAGCTAGCAGGGTTAAATTTAACCCGCTGTTTAACTCGAGGTTAGCGCTAACCGATGTTTGAACAACGCAACAAACCTGCCATTAAAATTTAACCTCTGGTTAAGAAGATTTAACCCGCTTTCGAACAACTGGGCCCTGTTTCACAACAGTGACATCATGCATAGCATGCCTGGAGAGTTCTAAGATTTGAGGACACTGATGAAGGGGATACCATCGGAAGGCAGTGCCAAGCAGATAAAACCATCCTTCTGAAGCCGGGGTGTAAAGTCATGCTTTTATGGAAATTGAGCTGACGATTTGAGGAATGGAACATCAGGAATGTTTTTAGAACAGTCATCGTCGACTTTCCTGAGATTGGCAAAATAGGTCTAAAGAGAGAGACATGGAACAAACGTCTCACCAGAGGGCGTTTGGTTGGTTCCAGGAAACAACACCCTGTAGTGGCCATGTACACCATCACCTGTCATAAATCTCAAGGTCGAACCCTACCAGCAGTTGTTGTCCATTGTAGCAAGGAATTTTACCCGGGCTGACTTATGTTGCTTGTACCCGTGTGAAGAGCAGTGAAAACATACAAGTCATTGGTTTTAAAAGATCTCATTTATTACACCCCATGAAGAAGCCATAAACGACTGCAAGGGTCATCTTGAACCAGGTATAGGTAAGAGCTGCTGCAGAAATCATCGTCTAACCCAAGCAGAAATCATTGTTTTAGAAGGGGACTTCACGTTTGTTGACAACACAGAGGAGTGGGATCCAAGTGGAGTGAACATGGAAGTGGAAGAGAAAGCAGCTGCCTACTTTCAGCGGGGAGAACCAGAAGACCAGGTTATTGATCTACAGACCACCTATTATCTTCTATGTGAAGATGACGAAGGTGCAATCCTCAGGATACCTCGAGACTTTGATTTTAAATTGTTTCTCATGGACATTACAATCAAAGAGCCTTCATCAGATTTTGTCAGACAACAGAGTGAACAAATCGAAAAATTGATGAACGATCACTTGGATTTGATGGGTCGGATCTTGTGGAGCAAAGCAGCACAAATCGTTTTGGAAGAAAGTCTCAGCAACCCTGACGCAGATATACAATCTCACGTAAACAATGGACAGTAGACACTCGTCAGCTGTATTTGCTTATCACAAGATCAGCTAGCTTTCTTTGGGATATGCAGTTGTTTTTTGAAACCGCAACATTGTTGTCTACACAAACAACCATTGGAGTAGAGGCTATGATCCGAGTTTATAAACGAGTTGTTCAAGCAGCAGCTGATACGGTGACAGCCAAAATTGCCAGCACTCCCATTCGTTTCAACGTTAAGGAGATGCCCGCTAAGGGCCTGGCGGAAGTCCGATATGTTGGAGTGTGGTCAGTGAGGAAAGTGCTGAATAATAGAAGAAAACATGCAAAGGACAATTCACTTTCGTTAAACCCAGTAACGTATAAGTCTGTAAAGGATAGCTAAAAAATGAGTCTTTTACATGAAGAATGTCCTAGAAAACTTCAGCTTGAGACCTCCACCAAGTATCCTTCTACACTGGCTGTAACCAAAGAGAAACAGTACAGGTCTAGAGGCCTAACCCACATCACTGACCAAGCCTACGAGTTCCACCTTGATGCTGAAGACCAGCGGATAACAATATTAAACGAGGAAAAGGTGGAAAACTTGAAAGAAACCACAACTGAAAATGCTACTGAGGCTTTCAACAACAACCCTACTCTGTTGAGTAAGTGGTTGTCCTGCTTACCTCCAGATGTGATCGATTCTAAGAAGGTAAAATAGCAACGCTTAAATTTCAAATATGCTGATCATTTTTTCAGTTGAAAAACGTTCCCTTTTTATGCATCAATTAACATAAAGCATTTTTTTTTCTGTCTTTAGAAAATCATTCAGGACATGTACAAACTAGTAATGCGGCGATACTTGATGATGGGGGCAGGCCAATACCTGCGGGATTTTAGACTGGCACATAGGCAAGTTGACTCTTGATTATCGTTATTGTTAATAAATCAACACGAAATACAAGACTGAAAACAGTCGACTCGAAATACAATTAAAAAAACGAAGTTTATTAATCACCTTAGCACATTACTTCGGTATTAATTAACAACAGTCCATGTGTTCTACTGTTTCACAAAGGAAAGCCCCGGGAGGAGGCCATGGGTCGGTGCAGAGCTATTTTCGTCACCTGAAAAACTGCATGATATAACCTGAATACTGACTCTTTTACCCAAAATACCTCTTAATCCCCTTCGATAGGGGCGGGTAAATTATATTTTTCGATCATTCTGTTTATCTGAACTGTGATAAATGTGCAATTGCTTCATTTTGTTAAAAAATCATAAGGATGAAGAAGTCTGCAGAACATCGAAAGAAAGTCTTGCAAAAACAACAAGAAGTACTCCAAGAGATCCGCGGTTTGGTTTGAAGAAATCTCCTGTGACAAAAGCGAGGGACAGGTATCCTCTCACAACCGCATAGTCACTTACATAAATGAATTTGGCCAAGACACATTCCAAAGGATCTACACCAAGCAAGAGTTAACAAGACTCAGTGGTGCTTATGGAGTAGAGACCACATCACGAACCAACAAGACAACTATGGCTACAACACTCGTTCCTGTTATTAGGTCGTGTAGTAGTGTACCCAACCCTTATGTTCTTATAACTATAGTAGATTAGCCAACACTGATGACAACGCAAGACTAGTAGTTTTAAGAATTGCCAGGCTTTGCTAATTATGCTTACTTGTTGCATTAACGGGGTTTATGTCTAACAATGCGATAAATACAAAACTCTAAGCCAAATTCCATTTAACTCACGTCTTGTTCTTTTTATCTTTGGCAGGCACTCGTGGTTTATGATTAAAATATCCCAGGAGCCCATTCAGGCAGGGGCACTTGACAACGCTGGCGTCCTCATATTGCCTCAACTTAAAAACATTTTTGATGATGCCCAGAGTCCTTTTTAATGAAAATCAAAGCTCAACAATTTTTCCCTTTTACACAAACCCTTTTCTGCGACACTAACTGATCTGTTTTACTGATATAAATCTCGACTCACTTAGTACAATGTGGGAGGATCACAGTGAATATATGATTAACGAGTCATATATTTCATGTTCTAGTTTTCCTCATTCACGTTCTGTTTACCGGTCAATAAACGGATCACATAACTGAACTCCTTTTTATCAGGATATAAGTTTTGATAACTGTTCATGAATGGAACGGTTATCTGGAAATCTTTAGCCTTCCCCAAGCTTAAGACAATCCCAGGCAATTTTTGCCTCTTCGAACAGACACTTTCACAGAAAACAGTTGTTGGGGACCCATGCCATGGGCTCCTGATTATCCGGCATGTTGCTCCAGAGAGAGGAGCGCTATAAAATTGTAATGGGAAAGAGACATGAGGAAATAATGCCAGTACACATTTCCAACTGGATGAACTCTACCATAAGAAAGCTTCCATAATAGTACAACATCAAATGTACAAACAGACAACTATACTAATTAACAGTTATTCTTAGAGTCAATAGCCTATGAGGCCAAATGCCGAATACTAGTTTTAGTAAAATCCAACTAGTTGGTCAAAAATATCAAGACAGCAACGTTAGCTATTGCAAAACGCGATTCAGCCGCCGTTGTTTTCATTTCTGAAGCTGGCGCTTTTTGCTACTAGTGGGCTATGTCATATAACCTAGTAGTAGCTTAATCAATCAGAATGCAGCATTGATAATAGACCACTACTTGGATTTTACCAAAGGGAGTTAACACCCTCGCGTGTTCCGCTCTTCAGGTACATGTTAAATGGTGTTAGTGTTTACATCAGCTGTTTCAAAATTCAGAGTGCATGAAAATTCTTTCGCGTTTGGATGGTTTCCTCCAGTGGATGAAATTCCACGTTGTTCTGCTTTCTTTTCTTGTTTACAATTCCTTCAGATCCAGTTGAAACCGATCTTTTCAAGGTCAGCATGTTAAATGGTGTTATGTTTACATCAGCTGTTTCAAAACTCAGAGTGCGCAAAAGTTCATTTGCATTTGGATGGTTTCCTCCAGTGCCTTGTTCATTGGCCAAATGAAAACAAAAAAAGCCGACCTTGCTGGGAGGTGCGTGCATAGAGATTTGTCTTAACGAAATTATGTTATCCTCTCCCAGTGAGTTCTCATTTGACGCCAGCGCCCAGTCACCACTAAGCGACAAAATGGTTGAAATGTTACACTTTTCCTAGTCACGGATAAATGGCGCCGATTTTTCAACTGTAGTTGATCTTTTCAATCGAGTTGTGCGATCCAAACGCAAGGCTTACCGGAACAGATTGCAGGAAGGTGACCTTAAGGTACCACTTTGTGGATTTGGCAGCGGAAAATGTGTTTGTTTTTTCGTGTGAAATTTGGAGCTAATTCTGAGCAGCTTTGAAGATCAATCAAGCGATTCTGTCCTACCTTGTCTCTTATTATTACACTGCCAGGTCAGATGCTGTAAAAGTACTCAAATCATTTGAAACTTCGTACAAACAAAGACGACTCCAAAGGGTTTTTAAAGATCTGTAAAATTACATCAAACCTGACCCTCAGTCAGATCATTGTCTCAAATCTTACAAGTGGCATAAACTAAATACCCGCATAAACTATGCTCAAATTCATTGAATTAGATACAAAAAACAAACATCAAATACAATAATTACTCTGGCTTATCATTCGAGATGCAGGTCCTGAAAGGTATCAAGTAAGGCCAGTATCGCTTCAGACTTTGCAACCTTCTTACACATCAAGTAAGGTGAAAACGAAAACGATGCCATCTGAAATCAGACTTCCGACTTTGACAAGCGACGCATTTCTCAACGAAAAACCAAATAAACAAACCAGCCATGCATAAGAGAACACTCTTGATAGCAGCTGTATTTCATTTTGTACATCCAGTGGAAAAAGACAGTTAAAAACATCACAAGTTGACTCAAAACTCTGTCAGCTTCAGCTGTCAAAGTAAACAACTTTCAAGATGCTGCATAAATTTTACGCATGAATTCACCTGTCAAATTTTAACCAGTCAGAGCATAAAAATTGGACGTGGAGCGTGACCAACACGTGACCATGGTAAGAAAAGGTCTTCCCCGCCTGTATTTTAAAAAAACTGGCTGAAGTTTTGCGTCTGAGGTCAGTTTGAAATCAAAATCGTAATAGTGCGTGGTGATACTCACATAAACACAACATATTTGATATGAATTTAAAAAAAAGTAAACGTAAGCCTGCAATCATTTGAAAACAAATAAATTGTCAGCGGATAACTTCAAAAAATACTCGACCTTGATGGGTCGACACCTGAGCCCGCGATATGGTCAGGTGATACTTGTCAGCGGATACCCTGTTTTGACAGCTGTCAATTGATGACAACATTGTTGTGCAATCAGCTTCCTCCTGGGCTCCCAAAGTAGCTAGAAAGTGTGAGAGTAAACATTGGTATGCCTGTGGTGGTGATGCAGACGGACAGTTGGTCGCTCGGTCGGTCACGTGATTACCAAATTTTCTGGGATGGGTAGATTACCTTAGCTATGGGGCTCCGCCCACGCGCGTGCTTCGCGCGCGTGGAGCTCCGCTATTAAACTTTCTTGATGTCACACTTAACCTGGGTAACGGTAAATACTCGGCATACAACAAACCAGGAAACATTCCACTCTACGTCGACAAGAAATCTAACCATCCACCCCGCATCTTCGAAAACATCGTAAAGTCCATCAACAAAAAGCTGTGCGAAATCTCTTTAGCAAAGCAGTGCGTCTTTATCAGAAAGCTCTCGATGACAGCAGGTACAACCACAAACTTGTGTTCTCAGTTCCTACAGCACAGTCTCCGAACTCTGGAAGATGGAACAGCCATAGAGATTTCATTTGGTACAACCCCCCTTTCAGCAGAAATGTGGCTAATATATAGATTTAGCCAGGGCTAAAAGCGAAGCTCCCGTTAATAAATTCATAATTTAAATCAAACAATAAACTCATTTGACTTTTGAGGCAAAGGCTAAGTGATTTTAGAGAAAAATAGTTTGACAGTCCAAGAGTGAAACAAATTTTACATCAAGTTATTAAACAGTCTTATTTGTACACCCAAAAATAGCAATCATGTTCGATCACAGTAGATTATGCCTGGAAAACAAATAGACCTATTCGTGTACTGTATTTGCATTAGCTGTCGCATCATAATGTGACTTTCACCAGTCTCTCCAACATTGCTCCTTAAGAGAGACTATGGATAATTGGACAACCCCGAAATATAATTTTAAGAAACACACGCTACGATAGTCCTTGGTGGCAGCCAATTTACACTTTGCATTCCTCTGTCTAAAAGAGAGGCCAAAATAAAAAATCAGGCCGGATTTTTTGTGTTCGACAAGTTTAGTTTACTAGTAAATCTTGGCGACGAGTCTGGTAGTGTGTAAACCAGCCTTTTAAACATACTTTTTCTCATCACGTCTCAGGTAAACAGAACTCTGAGGCCCTTTTTTTTATCATACAGACCTCGGACAGAATTTGTTCTTTTTTGCCCTATTTAAACCTATAATTCTTCAGTTTTTCACAATTTCGCAAGAGAATTTGCACTCATTCAATATCCACGACGATCAAAGCACGCGCTTCCTTTGCACAACAAATTATAGCATTGAATGATAAAACGTTTTTGAGAAGAGAATTCTTAATAACATAATGCTGGGACTTTTCAGTTAGAAAAATCTGGTCCTATGTGATATGCAGGGTAATAATTACAGGCTTTTAATGAAAACGATAAAAAAAATTCCAAAATCACTTTTTGGCCAGCTGGACGGGTTCTCACTTTTGACAGGCACCAAATTTGCAGTGCGACTAATAGAGTTACCATTTACGCTTCAACATGATAGAGAAATTGTTAAGTTTAGGTTTTATATCCCTTTATTAGTTAAACTGTGTATGGTTTTGAACGTTCTTTGAAACTTTTAAACCGCTTCTTGGATCTAAGAAAGGGGTCTTGGGAACTGATATTAACTTAAAAGTTGACGGCAAGATCATTAGCAACCAAGAGACTGTCGCAGAAATATTAGCAGGTCACTTTGCTACGATAGCAAGCGATATTGGAGATGTCAACTTAAGAAACTCCTCGGAGAATGACTTAAATAATCATCCAAGTGTCTTGCAAATACAAATGACGAGTAGTTCAGAACCAATGATCGAGTCTAATCCAGTCAACCAAGCACCAGTTAGAAAGGCTCTGGAGTCACTTAATACGAGGAAAGCATCAGGATATGACAATATGCCAGCCAGAGTACTGAAATATGGAGCGGAAAAACTTGCTATACCACTGGCGAATCTGTACAATTCATGTATTACAAATCGACAATGGCCAAACAACTGGAAAAGGGGGGAATGGACGCCCGTCTTTAAGAAAGAGGATCCACAAGATTGTCGGAACTACAGCCGCCTGGATCCACGAATTACGGCATATCGCAAACGCCACAGTTGTGAAACAACATTGATAAGTCTTATTGAAGCGTGGAAATCAGCACGTGATAACCAGCAAATTGATAAAATCTTATCTACTGACTTGAGTAAGGCTTTTGATTCGCTTCATCTGTCCTTAATGATCAGCAAATTAAAAGCGTATGGTTTTAATGACGAACTATGTGATCTACTTCAATCTTACCTATGTAATCGATTGAACCGAGTGAAACTGGGAGCTTTCAGAAGTGAAAGGAAGCGTACAGATAGGGGTTGTCCACAAGGATCGGCCCTTGGCCCATTGTTATGGAACATCTTTCAAGACGATCTGACATACGTAATAACTTCAAATCTCTCTATATACGCGGATGACCATCAAATGTATGAAAGAGCGGGGAACCTGAAAATGGCTGACACCAATCTTATGAGGAATGCCAATAGGGCCTCCGAATGGTACGCTAGCAATCTGCTACAAGGAAACCTGAGCAGATATCAAACTATGACTTTAAAGCATAACAAGACAGAAAGTAACACTCCATTGCACTTTCAAGGAAACACCATCGAATCTTCTGACTGTCTTAAGTTGCTAGGGGTCACCATAGATGAACAGTTGAATTTTAACACTCACATTAATGAAATATGTAAGAAGGCGAGTCAAAGAGTAGGTGTAATGTTAAGGCTTAAGGTCATTCCCCTGAATTGCATTGCGCATCTCTACTGCGCATAATATTGCAACACTGGTCACGCAATCTTTCAAGATGGCTACCGTCGGCGTCGGCACCAAGTCGAGAGATAAAAAAGATTTTTTTGTAAGTTCAAAAGAAAAGGGAAGACGAGAAAAGTTAAAAAATATTTGGAAAAGTAAGTGTTGTAATGTGGAAGGTGATGGAGGCGTTAGCACAAAAAAGAAATGCATCGAAGCCGGTAGCTGCAACTTTCGAGGCAGACGAGTAATCGAGTTAGACGTGCTGGCCAGAGCCCTGGATAGTGGTTGCAGTGCGTGTGGAAAAGCACTTCAGCTATCAAACTGCCAAGATGAGACTATCTCTGGGTTGGGTAGTTTTTTGTATATTATGTGCAGCGATCCGGAATGTGGAGAGGTAAATGTGTGCACCACAAACAAATCGCATCGTGCCGCCGGTGCTGGTCGCGACCGACCAATTTTTGATGTCAACACCAAACTTGCCGCGGGTAGGTATATTTATTTGATTAGCAGCTTTTATCTGAACATTTTTCCAAACTTCATCAAAATTTAATAATCATAATACCGTGTAATAACTAACTTTTAAATGTACATGTACTGTGTTTATATGCAGGAATGTTACACGCCGGTATCGGGGTAACACATGTAAACGCACTGCTCACGTCGATAAACCTTCCAGCCGTGGGACAAAACACTCTGAAGACCAGAGAAAGAGAAGTTGGCCCAGCGATTGAGGCTGTTGCAAGGAATTCATGTTTAGAAGGGTTACAGTTGGAGAAAGAGTGTCGGAGGACCGGGGACACAGAGCAAGTTGTAAAAATCGGGGTATCGTACAACATGGGCTGGCAGAAGAGGGGAAAGGGCCACAATAGTTTGACAGGTCAGTCCTATAATATACATAAAGCCATGAAATAATGGAGGTATTTTTGCTTTGCCTACGTGGCATCCACATCAGTAACAAGTGTCTGTTTATTCGTTATAAAATACAGTATAAACAAATTCACAACAATTTTTTCTTTTGCTTGAATAACTTGAACAATAATAATAAGATAATGAAATAGCAGCTCTAGAAGTAAAACTCAATAGACCACAAAATTTCCATCCAACAGCAGTCAGGCAATTTAACATTTGATTTCCTTCAACAATAATAAGCAGGGTGCTTGTTCAAATCATCCCCAAAGACAGTGAATGAGCTAATTACTAGCATTATTGATACAACAATGAGTCATTCATTTAATTTCTAGAGGTATTGACTTTTTGACTAAAGTAAATAAAACAAGACTATTTTTCTTTCCTAGGAGTTGGGTCTATGATTGGGCTATCTTCAGGCAAGATGGTGGGCTACAGCACAAGGACAAAGAGATGTGCATTATGTGAGGCAGCTAAGAGAAATGGCAAGGAACCGAGGTCACATGACTGTCGGATGAACTGGACAGCATCCTCCAAGTCCATGGAGCCCGATGTTGCTGTGGAGTTGGTAAAGGGGGCCATTAGTGCGGGTGCTCAAGTGTCAGTTATGGTTGGGGATGAAGACTTGGCCACAATCAAGAAAGTGAGGGAAAGTGTCACACATGAAGTTGACAAATGGTCAGATATTACTCATGCAAAACGGTCATTTGGATCCCATCTCTACAGCCTGCAACCACAGCATAAAGGGATCCTTAGTACTAATGTAATTAACCACTTCTTGAAATGTTTTGGGTATGCGCTAAGCCAAAACAAAGACAATGTTGACGGTCTGGAGAAAAATCTGAAAGCCATTGTCCCTCATGCATTTGGCAAACATAATAAATGTGACAGTTCTTGGTGTGGGTTTCTGAAGAGCCCCACAACCTTCAAACACAAGAGCCTCCCACGTGGCAAAGATTTAAAAGGTGAGAAACTAGAGGAAGATCTTAATGCTGTTGTGGACATCTTTGTCCAGAATTCGGAGAAGCTTGGCCCTCTTGGTTCAAGTCAGTTGAATGAAGCCCTCAACAACACCATTGGCAGCAAAGCTCCAAAAATTCGACACTACGGTGGCAGTGAAAGTAATGATTTTAGAGTGGCCTGTGCTGTCAGCCAGAAGAATGTGGGTTATTCTTATGTGGCAAAGGTTAGCATTAGCTTTACGTGACCACACATCTGCTACTACATTAAAGAGAATAATATCATAGCTTACAGCGCAACTACTAGAACTGAAGCCACCAATGGAACAATTTTTTTTTTATTATTTTTGCAAAATATCCTAACCATTTATCCATTGAAAACATAGCAGAATAAATAAGACTTTATGTCTTCTACAAAAGTGTACAACATTTGTTTAGATGGCTTTGTTTGTAGTAATTGCACTGTAATGCAATGTTATTGGATAACTGCAGGAAGATTTTTTTTGCAACCAAAGAATGTTTGCAGGTATATGAATAGTTGTCGCACATATAAATATTGGTATTTCAATAAGGTATATCATCACAGATTATGAGTAGATAAGAAATCAGTGTCAGATGTCTCTTATAATGTAACAAACAACACTTCATGTTCTAGGCTATTGCTCCAAACCAATTTGTCCTGTTATAATAAATTTATTATGTTCTAGGCTTGACACGAAATTCAGTTATCTCCAGGCAGATATTGTCAAAGATATGCAGGTAGAGTAGACAGAAAGATATCACTCTTAGCAGCCAGAACTAAGACTCGGGAATACAAAAAGAAGAGAAGGCAGAGAACAGAGAGGAGAGCATCTAAGCTCAAGCAATTAGAAACCAGAGAGGGCAAGCAGTATGAAAGTGGCCTAGGTTACAGACATGACAGTTCTGAAGAGCAGACTGAAATACCACCTCATACTTGCAGACCAGATATACAAAAAGTCTGTGCACCAGCTTGCATGAAGACAGTAGTGTTTGACTTGGAGACATCTTCAAGGGGTACCAACTGACTAATAATAATAATAATAATAATAATAATAATAATAACAGTAGTTCATTAAAAATTAAAAATCATAATCATTCTAATCATTCTTCTTCTTATCATTATTATTAGTATTAGTATTATTATTATTATTATTATTATTATTATCATTTATTATATAGACATGAGTGTTTTACTGGAAAGTATACCACTCGTAAAATTCATAAAAACTACATCCGGGACCCGAGTGGTTTATTTTCCATAATCTCACACGTGAGTTTATCGATGACATAATTTTGGTAATTTCCCTCTATTATTTTATCAATGTCATTTTGTCTATATAATAAAAAGAACATTACACTGCGGCTTGAACATATGAATTTTATTTTCTCGTGGCAAAAACAATATTTTACTCACTCACTGCGCTCATTCGTAAAATATTGTTTTGTCTTCGCGCCACCGTGTAATATCCTCTATTTATTTTTGGTGCATTACATTTGAATGCTCTTAAAATATTGAATAAACATTACAAAAGAATAATGCAAGATCCTTTAATTTTTTGTTTGGGAGAGCCAAAGCCCTTCTCAGTTTTTTCGCTCCTGAAAGTTTTCTTTCATCTCTAAGAAAAAAATTAAAACTAAAACTTCCAAAAAATTCAGTATTCTGCAAACTAACCATATTTGTTTTCAATTTAATGTTAAATTGAGGAATATTGTATTTTATGAAGAATTTTTAAAACGCTCAAACTGTGTATGGCATACAGTTAAGTATTTCAAGCAACATAATGGTAGATTCATCTTTAATTTTTGCAGTAATTATGTCCTGGATAGTTGAACAGGAAAATGTTTATGCTAAATTATTAGGTGAATTGTTTACAAATAACCAAATACAAAGACCAAAATTGTTTAACAAATAATATTTCCTCATTAATTTTGGCAGGTGATGATGCTGAAATTTGCGAGATTGCGGCAGCAGAAGGAAAGAATACCTTCCAAGTTTACATCCTTCCTAGCAACAGCATAACACCAGCTGCATCAGCAGTCAACAAGTTGACTGTGAGGAGTGGGGTTCTCCACTATGATGGAAAACCAGTTTCCTCAACATCTTAGCAGCAGGCCTATCAGATCTTCTTCAATGGCTTGAAGCAAGACAACCGTGTTTGCTCATGGCACACAATGCGAAAGCTTTTGATGCAAAACATCTGGTGAAGGCAGTGACTTCAAGTGACCTGCTTCCCAAGTTCTCTCAGGTGGTACTTGGTTTTTCAGATACCCTGCCAGCCTTCAGACAGCTGTTTCCTGATAGAGCATCCTGCAGCCAAGAACACCTAGCACAAGACCTCCTTGAGAAAACCTACAATGCCCATAGTGCATTAGATGACGTCCTCATCCTACAAGAGCTGGCATCCAAGTATATGACTGACAGCACACTGTTACAGCACAGCTTTACAACATCATGGGTGGAGACATACACAGTGTTCCTTGGCCAGAAGAAACAAAATCTCAAAACCCTACAGCCACTCATCAGCTCAAAAGCAGTGTCGAAAGGAATGGCGGAGAAAATAGCAGCTTCTGGCTTGAGACTAAGCCACATACAGCTAGCATTTACAAGAGGTGGAGCTGATGGAATCTCCAAGGTCCTCACAGAGAAATTTAGCGGCAGGGCAAGGATCACAACGAACAAGAGAATTCTTGAGAGCATTTCCAGTTTCTTTGCAGACAAGTGAAATGTAAATTCCTAATATGAGAATGTAAACAAGAAAACGATAAGTTATGATATTTATCATTCTGTGCTTTTGCTGAATTAATTATACAATGTGTGATAAAACTTAGCTAAACTTACCTGTATAAACATGTACATTCTTAGTTGACACTGACAAAACGTATCCAGAAGTCACCAGGATTCGTCATGCAATATCTCCTGGTTTCTTGTACGGGTCCCCAAATGAAATTTAACCTATTTTTCCAACATTAAGAATATGTTTTTGACCATAGTTTGGTTTCTGGAGCATTTTTACACGTATTTCATTACCGACAAGACTATCTCGTTATGAAGGCGAATTTCGAAGGTCTGAACTTCATGCAAGACTTAGTAGAACGTCCTGAGCCACACCCATATTGTACCTTCGCGCAGGGGGTGGGGTTGAGGAGGGGGTGGAGGTTCTGTAAAAGGGACAGTCTCCAGATTTTAGATCTGCAGACGATGGCATCACTGTAATAAAAACTTTGAGCATTTGCATTGCAAATGAAAACTTGTGAAAAACTGAAAATATTTAGTGAAAAATGAAAACTATGTTGTGGTTTGTCTCGCCAGATCGCTAAAGCGACTTATTTCATTAAGAAAGCCATGCAAGTATTATGTAATGGTAAGATTTCTCGGAAATTATAATTTAAGAGTCATATTAAAGTGTCAGATTCAGTGTTGCTTGTTCTTTTTATTGTACCAAAGTAACGTTAATTTGGTTGCCATGGCAACCATTTTTCATCATTTTGCCCTCAATCAGGAGCCCAGATAAAGCATTCCTTTAACCTGTCACTTAACAACCAAAAAGTAGATCTATACGAATAAGTGCACTTAAATTTACCATGTTTTTTTCCTGGAAAGAGAAATGGGCCTGCCCACCTGGGAACAGAAAATGATGGCATAGCTTCTAAGTGAATACCGGCACCCCCCTCTTTTTTTCGCTTGTTTGACTCTACAAACAATAGGCTGCCTACACAAAAAGAATGGACAATTTTCTATGCTCAGAAAAAAAGATATATAGGAAACAATAAAGCCAATACTCATTTTTTCATTTAAATCATGGTAACCATGGTAACGAATTTAGGGTAGTGCTTCCTCAACGTATGCGTTTTCGTACCAAAAGCCTTTTGAAAGTGTTATTCTTGTCCAACTCTAAATATGTATAACCTTATTTCGCACAATCAGTAGTATTCTGAGTGTTATTAGGCCTAATTATTTATATAGTCCATGGTGCAAGGCAGCGAACCGGAAGTGTCGAAAATTGCTTCAAAGGGGGTATGTTTGAGCCCTCGCAGCTCGTAAACGAATACCGGCACCCCCCTTTTTTATTTTGATTTCGAAGTCCTAGTATGATGAATATTTCATAGACAAAATTTGAGAAAAAATCTATGTTAAGTTCTATTTCAGGGGAATGATCTTAAAAAACTTGTCCCTACCAATGCTAAATTAACTCTGTATAAATCAGCCATATTGCCTTACTTAACCTATTGCCACCTGACTTGGCATTTCTGTAGTGCTACCGACAAAAGAAAGCTTGAACGGGTCCAAGAAAGAGCACTACGCGCAGTTTTCCTAGATAAGCAATCAAGCTACCAAGCATTGCTGGACAAAAGTGACCTAACGACTCTTCAGAACAGAAGACTGCAAGATATTGCTATCCTTATGTATAAGGTGAAACACAAACTATGCCCCATCAAAATATCCGAGCTATTTCACGCGCATTGCTCACCCTACAACTTGAGGACGGCAGAGTTCGCCATTCCCAGATTTAGGACCAATAAATATGGTAAACACTCGCTCACCTACCTGGGACCAAAGTTGTGGAATAAGCTACCAAGCGAAATCAGAACTCTCCCATCATTATTTAGTTTCAAAAATTGTATTCGTAAATTTGATTTAGGTGTAATGATAGACGACAACAATTGCTCCAATTGCATCCTTTGTAATTCTTAATCTTTTTAAATCAATTATTTCATTAGTTGATAGTTAATAGGTTTTTAACTATATTATATTCTTATGTAACTATATTATATTGTTAGGTGTCCCCAATTAGTAGAGGGGTTCTTAACCCCATCGGCTAGACATTCCAAGACACATTAATACAGTTTTATGTATATGTATATGTATGTTTGTTATGCGTAATCTTTAAAAGCGAGTGATAACGAGCGCCGTTTTGAGTATTTCTGCATGCCATGTTTATGTTCGACTGGAAACAACCGGCGCAGCGATAAATATTGCGAGAGGGACTACTAACAATCAATAAAATAAATGTAATTCGGTGAAACATGTGCAGAGACAATAATTTTCATTCACAAAGAGAAGTATTGAGAGTAAAGTGTCTCTGAAAATCATGAGTCAGGTAAGCATAAGCTTATTTATGTTTTATTAAAGCCGGCTCCCGGTGTTTTTGTTGATGAACTCGAGACAAGAAAATCGCTCAGAGCTTTCTGTTTACAGCCAAAATCATAACTAAATAATCTTCGGAAACTTTTCTTTGAATTTGCAGCCAAAAAAAATCTAAAGGCTTTTTAAACCTGATACTATTGTAGGTTAGATCATTGCTCGTGTATAAACTCAGGCGCAAAGACAATAATTGCTCAGGCTTACCAGTCGAGATGCTGCTTCTGAAGGCTATCAAGAGTTCCAGAATTGCGTGAGACTTTTCAAACCTCTTACGCCTCAAGTAAGGGCAAGTGAGTAACCTCATTTTTGAAAACGATGCCATCCGAAATCGGATTTCCAACGACTTTGACAAGCAGTGCATTTGTCAACAAAAAGCGCAATAAACAAACCAGCCATGAATTACAGAACAATCTTGATAGCAGCTGTATTTCATTTTGTACACCAAGTAGAAAAAGACAGTTTAAAACATCACAAGCTGAAAAAAAACCCTGTCAGCTCCAGCTATCAGTAAGCAAGTTTTCAGATGCTGCATAAGTTTCCCGCATGAACTCACCTGTCAAATTTTGACCAATCAGAACATAAGAATTGGACGTAGAGCATGATCATTGCGTGAAAGTGAGAAAAGTAAAAAGCGATTACCTTCCCTACATGTAAATGTAAAAGCCAGTTGAATTTTCGCGTCCGAGGTCAGTTTGAAATCAACATTTTAACAGTGCTGCTCATGAACATGACTTATTTCATATGCATTTAAAAAATATGAACTTGAGCCTGCGATCATTTGAAAAGTATCAACTTGTCAGCAGATACCTTCAAAAAACACTCGAACTCAGTGGGTCGATACCTGAGCCCGCGATACGGTCAGGCGATACTGGTCAGCAGAAACACTATTTTGACAGCTGTCAATTAATCAAAACATGGATGTACATTTCTTTGCAGACAAGTGAAATGTAAATTCCTAATATGAGAATGTAAACAAGAAAACGATAAGTTATGATATTTATCATTCTGTGCTTTTGCTGAATTAATTATACAATGTGTGATAAAACTTAGCTAAACTTACCTGTATAAACATGTACATTCTTAGTTGACACTGACAAAACGTATCCAGAAGTCACCAGGATTCGTCATGCAATATCTCCTGGTTTCTTGTACGGGTCCCCAAATGAAATTTAACCTATTTTTCCAACATTAAGAATATGTTTTTGACCATAGTTTGGTTTCTGGAGCATTTTTACACGTATTTCATTACCGACAAGACTATCTCGTTATGAAGGCGAATTTCGAAGGTCTGAACTTCATGCAAGACTTAGTAGAACGTCCTGAGCCACACCCATATTGTACCTTCGCGCAGGGGGTGGGGTTGAGGAGGGGGTGGGGGTTCTGTAAAAGGGACAGTCTCCAGATTTTAGATCTGCAGACGATGGCATCACTGTAATAAAAACTTTGAGCATTTGCATTGCAAATGAAAACTTGTGAAAAACTGAAAATATTTAGTGAAAAATGAAAACTATGTTGTGGTTTGTCTCGCCAGATCGCTAAAGCGACTTATTTCATTAAGAAAGCCATGCAAGTATTATGTAATGGTAAGATTTCTCGGAAATTATAATTTAAGAGTCATATTAAAGTGTCAGATTCAGTGTTGCTTGTTCTTTTTATTGTACCAAAGTAACGTTAATTTGGTTGCCATGGCAACCATTTTTCATCATTTTGCCCTCAATCAGGAGCCCAGATAAAGCATTCCTTTAACCTGTCACTTAACAACCAAAAAGTAGATCTATACGAATAAGTGCACTTAAATTTACCATGTTTTTTTCCTGGAAAGAGAAATGGGCCTGCCCACCTGGGAACAGAAAATGATGGCATAGCTTCTAAGTGAATACCGGCACCCCCCTCTTTTTTTCGCTTGTTTGACTCTACAAACAATAGGCTGCCTACACAAAAAGAATGGACAATTTTCTATGCTCAGAAAAAAAGATATATAGGAAACAATAAAGCCAATACTCATTTTTTCATTTAAATCATGGTAACCATGGTAACGAATTTAGGGTAGTGCTTCCTCAACGTATGCGTTTTCGTACCAAAAGCCTTTTGAAAGTGTTATTCTTGTCCAACTCTAAATATGTATAACCTTATTTCGCACAATCAGTAGTATTCTGAGTGTTATTAGGCCTAATTATTTATATAGTCCATGGTGCAAGGCAGCGAACCGGAAGTGTCGAAAATTGCTTCAAAGGGGGTATGTTTGAGCCCTCGCAGCTCGTAAACGAATACCGGCACCCCC